ATTACTGATATACCGTTTTTTGAACACATTTTTTCATGGTTCATGGTGTGCTTCTGCAAGGTGAACAATACTCCTATTCAAGGGTGTTCTATTTTACTTACAGCCGTCCTTTCTGATCAGATTCCAAACAACTTTTAAACAAAAGCATCACCATAGCATGATTCTGACACCATCATACATAACATTTATATTTATTAACTCTGTATTCAGGTTCTAAATTAATCAAGCATTCATCCATCCATTTTCTGACACACTTTATCCCAAGTGGGGTCACGAGGGGTATTGCTGTCTATCTCCAGCTGTCTACGGGTGAGAGGCGGGGTACACCCTGGACAGGTTACCATTCCATCGCAGGGCAACACAGAGACAAACCACCTTTCACATACACACTCACACCTAAGGAGAATTTAGAGAAGCCAATTAACCTGACAGTCATGATTTTGGACAGAGAGAACCCACACATGTTCAGGGAGAACACGCAAGCTCCATGCAGAAAGACCCCAGACCAGGAATTGAACCTGTGACCTTCTTGTTGCAAGGCAAGAAGCAGCAGAGCTACCCACTGCCCCACTGTGCAGCCATAATCAAGAATTACAATTCAGTGGAGCTAAAATGAAAAAACAAAAAACAGAATGTCTAAAAAAATTTGATTTGTATGACATAATATTTTGAAGACTATACATATAATTTACCTATAGGTTGATGATCACAAGCATCTTTAAAGTCTGCCTTCAACCTCTCACATTCCAGGCTTTCTTTGGCTGCAGCTCGGGCTCTGGCCTGAACCATGTGAGTCTTCACCAGCTCAGCCTCTTTTAGACGCTCCTCATATTCACAACGAGTCTATAATCAATAAGAGTAAATTAAAATAGGTAGGTAGGTAGGTAGGAAGGAAGGCAGGCAGGCAGGCAGGCAGGCAGGCAGGCAGGCAGGAAGGAAGGAAGGAAGGAAGGAAGGAAGGAAGGAAGGAAGGAAGGAAGGAAGGAAGGAAGGAAGGAAGGAAGGAAGGAAGGAAGGAAGGAAGGAAGGAAGGAAGGAAGGAAGGAAGGAAGGAAGGAAGGAAGAAAAATTAGAGAAATCTTTCATTTTGTCATACTCCTTATAATAACAGCTGTCTGCTTACCTCCCAGAGCTCTTTAACATATGTATCATGATAACTGCTTATGTCTGCGTTTGTTTGGATGCGGTTGAAGGGCAGCGTCTTCCCCATGTCCTTACTGTAAACATCCTTGAAAACGCTTGCTAATACATGAGAAATGTCCTAGAATCAAGAATGAGGAAAATTTTCATATAGAAACTCAAGGATTTTTCACACCTCTAAATTAAAACGCGTTTATCTTACTTGTGAGGTTCCTGCCGCAGGTCTGGAACTCTCCACACAGGGCTCAACAAATTCATTTTCCGACATGTTTCCTTTGTGAAAGTCACACACACGGAACCTTTCGTGACCACATCACAAAGAAAAGAACAGCATATGTATGAGATTTAACACCAAATATTTTCACCAAATCCCGCTGAGCTTGTCGGTAAAGTTTGTGGTTGCCTGGCAACAACAGGTGGTCGCAACGGATACGAAAACACCGCGATTGTGATGGTAGATTTAAAGAAGACCTTTGGCAACAGATAAATAAAGATATATGACATCACCAGGAAATATAAATATTTGTACGCATGAGGTTTCACAGTAGGCTAACAGCATGACGTCTGTAACAAAGCAGGTAAACAGAGCTATCATAAAACATAAACAAGACAATTCAATTAAGTTTTTTTATATAGCGCCATTTCAGAACACATCTTACCTCAAGGCACTTTAAAGAGACAGTTCAACTAGATAAATACAGCCAGATTGGTTCAATTTTTTTTTTTTTAGAAAAGATTTATAGAGGAAAAAATAATAGAAATGAAAAAACGAAAAAAAAACAACAAGGAAACAAATACACAAACAATAAATCTCTATGGATATAGGACACAGTGGGTAGCACTGCTTCCTGGAAGCAAGAAGGTTCTGAGTTTGATTCCCGGTCTGGGGTCTTTCTGCATGGAGTTTGCATGTTCTCCCTGTGCATGCGTGGGTTCTCTCTGGGTACTCCGGCTTCCTCCCACAGTCCAAAAACATGACTGTTAATTGGCATATCTAAATTGCCCTTATGTGTGAGTGTACCTCCATGTGTGCATAGTTATGTCTCTGTGTTGCCTAGGCTATACCCTTCCTTTCATCTAAAGACTCCTGGAAATAGGCATCCTCCAAGTCTCCTGATGTACTGGCTGGTTTTCTCCCTACAGCAAACCTTCTTGCCACAGCCCGCATTGATGTACCATCCTGGAAGACCTGCAATACCTGAACTGTGTGGGTTGTTTAGTCCGTCTCATGCTACCATGAGTGTGAAAGTACCACCACCATTCAGAAGTGACCAAAATAGCCAGAAAGCATACATACAGAGAAGTGGCCTGTGATCCCCACCTTCAGAACCTTTATTGAGTGTGTCTTGCTGATTGCCAATAATTTCCACCTGATGAATATTCAATTTGCACAACAGTATGTGCAAATCGTTGTTGCTTGCTAAGTGGACAGTTTGATTTCACAGAACTTTTATTAAATAACAATTATATTGTTCTGTATGCTTCCGTCTCCTTGAAACCCAGAGGGGATCGGCAGATGGCCGCTCACACTGAGCCTGTTTCTGCTGGAGGTTTCTTCAAAGTAAAAGGGAGTTTTCCCTCTCAACTGTCGCTACATGCATGCTTGGTGTAAAGGGGTTGCTTTCGAGTCAATGAGTCATTGCAATTAATTGATTTTCCTTAGGTAGAAAACTTTGAGCCAGTCTGACTGCATGTATGATCTGCTTAAATTGTCTCTGTTGGCGCTATATAAATAAACAGAGTTGAATGGGCTCTATGCACATCTCCACTACTTCCTGAGCTTAACGCAGCTCTTTTGTATCCTGTCTTTCATTACTGGATGAACTGAGGTAAGACAAACCTGACCATCTAGTAGAAAAAGACAGGAAATAAAAGAGCTGCCTTAAGTTAAGGGAGTAGTGGAGTTGTGCATAGAGCCATTGAATTGCAATTAAATTGTTGTTTACATTATCTTTTGAGCAGTACACTTCAGCTGCCTTGCCTACTATTTGTGGTCAGAGAGCTGATTGCATGGCAGCTTTTCTTATATCAGTCTGTCCCAGGGCCACTGTGGCTACAGTATAATTTAGTTTACCACCATCAGCGTGTGTATAGGTGACTGACTCAATGTTGTGTAAAGCTCTATTAATTTGATAAAGTGTAGGAGGTTGATAAATGTAGAGAAAGGAAATGTTCAGAATAGATTAGGATCTCGATAGACAATAAGTTATCTTTTATAGATCCAGATTTAAATATAAAAAATAAGAGTACGGATAAATGGGTAGTGTGAAAAAGTATAAAATAGATTCATTACTGGACAAAAGTTAATAGCAACCATAATAATCATAATGATAGAATGTAGGATAGAAAAGCACAAAATTCTTAAAATTTACAAGAGCACCTGCCGTGATTATGAATAGCTTAAACAGCAATAATAATAAATAAATAAAAGTATGTATAAATAAAAATAAAATATTAAATTATAATAGTTAACAGTCACACTTCATACCTGTGTCTTTATCTTTCTTTTAAAATCATCTGAACTCTTGGTTGCCTTCAGGTATTCTTTAAAAATGTTCCACAGCGGAAGGATGTGTAATATAACGTGATAATTGTGATATGGCCAAGGTTTTAACATTCTTTTTTTTCCATGAGTGTGTTAGCTTCCCCTCTCTTCTAAAAGGCCTCTTCAGTTCTGACTGGCTGACCAGGAATTTTGGGCTAGCAAAGCTCTTTTCACTATACTACTTTAAGGATCAAAAATAACCATGCTGTGTACAGAGAAAATAAATAGTTAGAGGAGCCGAATGGTACTGTAAGTACTGAATTGGAAAAAACAAAACAAAACAATACACAGCAGGCAAAAGGTGTGGTTCCAACACATTTTATATCTTGTTACATCTAAACAAATCCATCCCACATGTTGATTAGGTGGAGAAACCACTACACAGGTGTGATCCAAATAAATCAGTAGGCTTTTGTATCAAATATGAGTTCTGGACAGAACTTCCAGTTTGAAACCTTAGACTAAAAAAATAAATGCTCTATCTACCGTATAAGAATCTCTTTCTTCTTGTATTTGAACGCTTTGATTTATTTTTAAACATTGTGGATTAAATGAGTCATGCAAACTGTCTGTCACAAATTCCCTACATGGTCTCATGCAAAAAGTTGGGTCATTTCTGAAAAGAGTTTGGTTTATCGCTGACAAACACACAGCATAGTCAACCGCTCTTGTTGCATAGCCCAAGATTCCTGAGGAACCCAAAACAAAGTATTTGATTGTGATTATCAGCTCATGTGCTACTGAAGTGGGTGTCTCAAAGGGGGAATTGTTAAGCATATTTTCCCTGCTTCATGGTTTGCCATACACTTTTTTGAAGACATGAAGAAACAGATAATCAAAAGGCCATAAACCTTTTTCATGAACAACATGTGGGTTTACGTCACTATGAAGGCATAAGATTCCAGACATTTTAAAGCGTTGCTGATATGAATGGCTTGTTGTTATGCAAAAGAGGTGTTAGGTGGAAGTACAGGACTAACAAGAAAAAGGCGCTTCTGTAATAGTGCTTTAAGCAACACTTAAAATGAATCAGTACAACCACAAGTGGCCATAGAAAAAAAAAACATTGCATTATTTGAACTTTATCAAAATACTAATTTGACACTAACTTAATATAATTTGTGCTGTATTTTTAACTTTCTCTTATTAGGCTGTGATGATAAAATTCCTTCGGAGGGTGTAGCCTACATTGGAGAGCATGAAGGAAATTATAAGTGAGCTGAGAGACTGTGGAAGACTTGTCAAACTGGTGCCTCAGTGGGTGTGGAGTATCAGGGCTGGGGCTAGTACCAAGTGTGAGCTGTGTGGGCTGGCTCAGAGCAGGAAACAGCAGATTCCCCTCAAAGACGAAGCAAACTGTTGGAATATTTCCGTTAAAACAGACAGACCCGTGTTGTGAGACAAACAGGAGTTTCTCTGCTGTGGATAGTGATTTATTTTGGTCTAAACTTACAATGGAGTCCAATGGAAAAGCTGGGAAACATGGTGAGTTTGAAAAAAAAAGCATCATCAAGCCACAGTCTGTTAAAATTGTACATGATTTTAAAAAATGATTTTAAGTGCAGATTCTGTATTTGTTAAGTTAAAAGAAAAATAGTTCCTTGTATTTGTGGTCCCCATCATTATTGAAAGAAATGACTGGTTTCAATTCAATTTTCAGTGCCTTGAAATTGAAGAATCTATGCTTTTCTGAGATTCATTTTCTGCTTCTTCTCCATTTCATATCTTTCCAAAGCAACCTTTTTGTTAGAATATGCGAGTGAAAATAATTTTAGTAAAGTATTAAAATATGTTACAAATCATTGTAAAAATGGAGAAACAGTATTAATCCTGTAGGTATACTGAGCTTGTGTAAGACATTAAAAGCAAACTTACGTATATAAGGCCACCAGGGGGCCTCAAAAGTAAAACATCTGTATTACTCAAAGGATAAGAGCAGTTGCTTGAATATGTTCCTAATTTGCTTAGTCTGTATTATCCAAGCTCCAAAAACTAAAACAGGTTTTATAAAACTTCTCTTAAAATAATAATAATTACTATGTATATAAATCAGATGGCTTTACCTAACATATTTAAGGTAGATTTTTTTTTTCATAAACTCTGTTATTGTATGATATATAAATGCGGCTATATATCAGCATAATTTATTTATATTGAAGAATAATGTTCTGAGTTTGTGTTATTTAATCCAAAGAAGTCGTCCCAAATCAAATTAACTTCAAGAATCTCACAAATTTATCCTTTTTAGTATTTTGGATATTTTTCTAAAAAAAATTATTCAACACTAAACAAATAAAAGCGATTTATAAGGTAAACCAAAGAGATTTGAATTCTAGACCCAAAGATGCAGTCCTGGGTCTGATGGGACCATTTGAATACATTTTTAGCCTTATAAAATGCAACAGTATAAAATTACATTTAAACCTAAAACACATTAGTAGCTATAAATCTATTGATATGATCTTAAAAACCTTACTTATATAAGTATAACAGTTATAACTGCTTTTCAAGTTGATTATATCATTGTAGACACCTTTGGTGTATTAAGAATTATATGATAGCCTATTGTCTGATCATTAACTCGATTACGCATGCACAATGTGGAAAGAAAATTTCTGTGTAGCAGCTTGCATCTGTTGTGTTTTGTAATTGTGGAGGTATTATAGTCAAGATAGAGTTGATACTGAGCTTTTTGGCTTCATACATTAGTCATGTTTGTCCTTTATTTTCCTTAATTCAGTTATATCTTACTTTACGCAACAAAATAAAACGCACTAAATTGAAAATGACTTACAAATTTGACTCCTCTAAATCTCAATTAGGACAGTGTCTGAATAATGACAAGTCTCCTGCATATGGTACAGTTGTGCTTGAAAGTTTACATACCCTTCAATTAATGAGAGAAAAAAATCAAGTGTGAGTAAAATAAATCGAAATGAACAAAACTAATAACAAATAAAAATATGAATAAAAAGGAGCTTTGTTAGCAACACAGGGAGCAATTAGATCCCTGATATAAGATGGAGTTGTGTTATTTAGGGCTTATTATCAGAGGGAGGTTTAAACTCTTTTCTGGATTTAGCAGGAAGCAAATCATGAGAAGCTGAAATAGAAGAAATATGATCTTTTTAATTTTCTTTATAACTCTGGCTGCAGGGTCAGCTGAAAGCTTTTAACTACAGTTAATGGACTGGGTTACAATAGTCTAGCCTTGAAGTAACAAATGCATTGACTAGTTTCTCAGCATCACCCCAGAACAAGATATTTCCATCCATCCACCCATCCATTTTCCCTCACGCTTTATCCCTGCTGGGGTTGCGTGGGGTGCTGGTGCCAATCTCCACCTGTCAACGGGTGAGATGAGGGGTACAGCCTGGACAGGTCATCAGGACAGGCCTGTTAGGTTTATTGAACTGTGAGAGGAAGTGGGAGTACCAGGAGAGAATCCACACATGCACAGGGAGAACATGCAAACTCCATGCAGAAAGACCCAGGGCTGGGAATCGAACCAGGAACCTTCGTGCTACAAGGCAGCAGTCCTACCCACTGCCTCACTGTTATTTCCATTTCCTAATTTTACCCACATCACAATCCCATTGTAATAACAATACTATATTTATTTAATAAATAATTGAAAAGATATAATTGAAAGACCATCAAAGCTTGTATTCATGTATTCGTATTATATTTTTGTTGACTTATATGCGTTCTTGGAAAAAGTACATAGGACAACATCATCACAAACCAAACTAAAATAAATGTTAGGTTAGACCCACAAGGTGGCGCCATTCTAAATCTACATGGCGGAATGTGATTAAAAAAAACATATATGCTGCCTATGGCTTGATTTTGTCAACGTTTTGAGAGGAAAGAAAAAATGACACTCACCTTATTTTATTAAAATTATTTTAAGGGTTTTGATTTATCTAAGGAGGGAATCTCTGATGTAAAGAAAATAAAAACACTTCCTAGAGAGTAGAAGTTAAGAAAGAACAAACCCTCTTGCTTTCAGAGGTGTAGAGTCAAATGTCTCTTTAGGAATTAAAAATTAATAAATAAATATATATTTTTTTCATCACTTTAAAAAAACAAACATTCCCCAGTTATATGACTATCATAACATGGCAATACACGCACAGACCCGCCCCCGCGAGAAAAGAGGGGAAAAAAAGAAAAAAAAAAAAAACTTTGGCTCCTTGCTTCTTCACACCGAGTGGCCTTTCACTCCACGATGTCTTGCTTCTGTTCACGTCCGATCAGGACGGAACTGGAGAAGCATTTGTCTCGGGAGAACTTGAAAAAAGTAGAGCAGGAAAATGGGAAACGCCTGGGTAAGTGCGCTTTTATTAAAGATCCATCTGACGCAAAATAGCGCAGACTGCGCCGCGCGCTGCTGAAAACATAAACACAACCCGATCCTACTCTAAAGCTGAGTTTGAAGAACTTGGATTGTCTATTTTGTTCTTATCAGTAACCAACTGTGACCACATCTGAGTTTGTTATGTTGACCTAACGCACATGTATGCAAATTGCCTTCATTGCCTGGAGCGGTGCATTTTTGCCTCTCATAGCAGACCAACCTACACATGACATAGGCTACTGCTGCTGTCACAGTTTAGTGTCCCAATCCTATGTGTTGTTGCCATTACCTCCACCTTACTTTTTTCAACTTACATAGATGTTTGACGACTTTAAATCTAATGTAAACTGCCAATCTTAAGTGTCTGTCCCTGTTTACATAGAAACAAGACATTTTTCTTCCTCAGAAAAACACTTCTAAAGAGTTAAAGGCTTTTAATTGCCAGTGCCAAAAAGAGGAAAACAAAACAATCCAACATGAATCTAAGAAAAGAAAATAAAGGAATGAAAGATTACACTTATATATCCCGCATGCTGCTGTGGCTGTTTTTTTTTTTTTTTAAATCTCTGTGCATTCAGAGCTGACTGCAGATAGTACAAGGTGTTAACTAGAATAGGATTTGGGATTCTCTTCCTGTTAAAAACATCACCACCAAAGTGATTTAATATGCACTTAAAATTTGGTGGGATCTTGGAAAGAAGTTTAACTGGTTGAACCTTAAAGCATTTATGAATAGCTGATAGGTATTTGTATTTGCTGAGATTTATGTGGGAACAAATGGAGCTCAAGCACAAATAGAAGAATAAAGTTCTGGCTTATGAAGGCAACAATACTGTAGGTAAAATTATAAAGTCTTGCATCGTCGTCATCCTGTTATGAATTTGCTAACATCTTTGGCAAAACAGAGGGAAACAAAATCAGATCAAAGGATGATTAAATGTTACATTTTGACTACTATACACTATAATTACTATAATATATACTTAAAAAATAACTTTGATTGCCCACATGGGCAACTTTTAAATTACAGATTTTTTAAATTACAGTTTTTTTATTACATTTATGTCAAGAATTTGACTAGGACATTTTAATTAATTAATGTGGTTTAAAGGTGAACGCTGTTTTTTTTTTTACGTTATTACATCATGTTCTACTCACCCATATTTTGTGTCATTTGGAGCTGTTCTGAAGATATTCCGTTAGGTTATATCCAAGTAACGTCTTCCTATGGGCAACGAGTTGAAGGCACAAACTAAACTGTTCACAATTTATTCTTTATGGTACTTCAGCATTCATAACATGTAGACGAATCACTGTCCCCCAGACGGTTATATTTTTTATATTTATAAGTTTTAAAAACAAAGCGCTGTGTGTATGACGTCATCAGCGCGCGCCGGCTACCATTTATATATCCTGTCCGCTGAACTGCAGCTAGTTTTACTCACATGCCTGGAAGATGTCTAGTGCTACTACCACAGATGATCTCGCTCTCCAAATGGAATTGAACTATTCAGATTAGCTAGCCGAATGAATAGAAGGAGTAGAGCGTAGCCGCCTGTGGCCCGGGCTGCCTGTTACAACTCCAGTCCGGCGCGCGGATGATGTCATACACACTCCGCATTGTTTTTAAAACATATAGATATGAAAAATATAACCCCGGATGTCTGGGGGACAGTGATTCGTCTACATGTTATGAATGCTGGCGTACCATAAAGAGTAAATTATGAACAGTTTAGTTTGTGCCTTCAACTCATTGCCCATAGGAAGACGTTACTTGAATATAACCTAACAGAATATCTTCAGAACAGCTCCAAATGACACAAAACTCATATGGGTGAGTAGAACATGATGTAATAACGTAAAATCAAGGGCCCAATGTAAAAAAAAAAAACGGCGTTCCCCTTTAAGTTCACCCCTTCTCTAGAAATTATCACTGTAAATGAGGGGTTTTGCTGCTTGAGACCCCCAGCAACAATCACAAGATTCCTATGCATTTTGCTAGCTTTTATTATTTTGACTTTCTTCCTACATAGCTCATAGAATAAAAGCAATTGGAACTTATGTTTCCTTTTTTTATCAGCTGCTTTTGCTTCTTGCCACTCAAAGTTTGGAAAAATGTCTTTTT